CCCAAGCAAATGCAAAAAGAGTACAAGCTTCTTCCCCAAGCCAAAACATGGCAAAGAAACTCACACTCCTTTTGCTAGCCATCTTGTTACTTCAACAAGCCAGCTCCGGCGAAAGTCGGTCCATAACAAACGACTTGCCATTGAGCATGGTCTCCGATGGAGTACTCGAAAAAACTCCGAAACCAAATTCCATTTGGCTGCCGGGCCGCTTGTTCTCTTCAGATAGTTGTGACCAGACATACGGCTTCTTGCCATGCACAACCACAGTTTTGGGAAATACTTTCCTGATCATCGTTTATGGCTACTTGATGTTTCTATCAGCCAAGCTGTTGTCTAATGGAAGTGAGATTCTGCTGCAGATTTTAGGGCCTGGTATCGTTGGGGGTTTCTTCCTGCCTCTTTTGAGCTCTATACCTGATGCCACCATTATTCTTGGTAAGCTTAGCTTTCATAAACCTATATAGCTATATAATATATTAACCTGCTATTGGACTACATTCGGAAGAAAAAAAGTGCTTATCTTTCTATAAATTCTTCCTATAGCCCAGCATGCTTGCCTTCTAGAGTGTATAATCGACAAACACATGGGCACTTCGTCAGGAATTGAAATAATTCCAATATTCATATGTTAGTAAAACACATGAAAGTTAGGAATTGAAATCATTCCTTGAGAAATGAAAAGTTCACATATTATATATAATGATATGCATTCGTGTTTTCACCCATTTTCAATTGATTTTGAATTGGAATATGTTCTAATTGTATTAATAAGCTTATTTTAAGGATGAGTTTATGCTCAGTTTAACGTGCTATGCTATCCGAGCAATGCACTGACTTTTCTTCTTCTCTATTTTATTTGCACTGGGAAAGGAAGAAAAATAATTATCTGTAAAATTATGTCATTATCAGTAAGGTCAAATGGCGCAACTTAAGTTAATTATGTGCATAAAAATTATTTTATTTCAAGTAGCCTTATTGCGTAAGTAGTAAGTACTAGACATGATCATGTGAGAGTGGAGTAGTTAGTCTAAGCTCATCATGTCAACTAATGACTTGGCCAAGTTATAAAAATTGGTTAACTAGTAATTTTTAAACAATAAAATAAAAAATAAAAAATCGCTTGTTGACTATAAGAAAGTCTTGCTGCTCAGATTTGAACAATTGACTATCTCTCACCCACCCTAATTAACAAACAAAATATCGATATTATTAACAAGCTAATAATTATACATTAGCCAGTTACTTAGAGTGGATGTGCTCCCCCCCATTCTGCACCCGAGTTCGAATCTTCTGTCCCGTAGTTTATATTAGATTAAAGTAAAATATCGTTTGCATACATGGTTAGGTATGCCTCGACCTTCTATTGGCTTATGAAATGGATTACCCCTTCTCTTAAAAGAAAAACTCAAGGAAATTGGGGTCGAATTGCATAAGGAGATAAAAGAAACTTGTCGCTGCATATTCAATCTTCCGAGTACATGCAGAAATGAAAAAAAAATGAAGTCATGTATGTGATTCTAGGATGGACAAGCCCGCTTCTTTTAGTGCCCATCTTTTTCTTTACCTTAATACAAATAATTGTGTCTCTTGCAGAAGAAATTTCAATTTATGTGTTATTTATTTTGTTGGTACGTAATACGTATGATGGAGTAAATTACTAGATGAGCTCTTTCTGGTGTTTCTTAACAGCGTCTGGACTTTCTGGAGACACAGAAACGGCTCAAAGTCAGGTCTCTGTGGGAATGGGCTTGCTAGCTGGATCAAATGTTATGCTTCTAACAATTCTATGGGGCACCTGTCTCCTAGTTGGCAAATGTGACCTTGAAAATTCAGTTGCAGTTGATCAAAAAGATGAAAAACGATTTAGCTTAACTGGTACTTTTTCCTATACTGTTCTTGGCTTAATGTGTGTAACTCGATGTTTATAGGATTCTACCCTAAAATGAAAATTAAAAAGAAGAAAAAAAGAGGTATATTCATTGTTCTGTTTATTTTTTATTTATCAGGATCTGGAGTGAGCACAGATATTTGGACAAGCTATGCTGCAAGGATCATGGTTTTCTCTATTATTCCTTTTGTAATTGTCCAATTACCCCAAGTTTTTCACACAACTTCTGACAGTCGCTTAGCAATTCTGATTTCGCTCATCGTCGCCATCTCCTTCGTGATTGCTTATAGCCTCTATCAGGTAGCTAGCTGAAAGTTTAAATTCAAAAAGAGATTTTTCAGTTTCCAAATTTCATGTGTGTTTGATTTGTATACAACCTCAGCATCTTCCCATCCGTTCTGCACTAATCGCTGCATCTTATCTATGAAATATTTATTGACGCAGGTCTTTCAGCCATGGATTCAGAAGAGAAAACTTGCATTATCAAAGCATAAGCATGTGATGTCAGAAATTCTAATACAGTTGAAAACAAATGCGCTGGGAAGACTTCTTACAAATGACGGTGATCCTAACAAAGTTGTTATAGAAAAGTTAGTCTTTATTAAACTCCGCAATCTTTGTCAGTTCCATTGGGATCTATTTTTCAAACAATAAGTCAGGCATTTACAAATTCACTAGTAATTCCATATATGATGTAAATTATTTGCTTCGGCATGCATTATCCCATGTTGGAAGGAAGCCTTGCATCAGTATTTTACAGGATCTTGGCCTTCTCTACCACATTCCCAATTGATTTTGGGTTAGATGCTCACATTCTAATAGATAATACTTCTTCAAACCTATCTAGGTTTAAGTACTTATGTTGCTCCACAACTAGTTGAGATGGGGGAATATAGGTTTTAAGTACTTATGTTGCTACTCAACTAGTTGGGATATTTTTCTTTTCGGGTTTTCATTTACAATGCATATATAAAGTTGTGTGTCCTATTACTGTAATACAGATAGAAAAAAGTTTTAGTCGCCTAGTTCGTGCTTTGACTAGCTTCCATATTATAATGTCAATGCTGATATTAAATAATCTGTTGATCTAATGATAGGTTGTTCAAGACACTAGATCAGGATTCGGATGGTTATCTAAGTACAGCAGACTTAAGATCTCTGATTATAGGAATCCAGTTCGACGATATAGACATAAACATCGATGAAGCAATTTCACAAGTGATGAGAGATTTTGATACATCTCATGACTCAAAGATTGATGTGGATGAATTTTTCAAAGGAATCTCGAAATGGATCAACAAGGCTAAGCGTGTCGCAATAATGGAGCGTGGAAAGCTTCCACCATCGATGAAACTGTTAGAGGATTTTGATAAGGTAAGTTGTTTAAATCCTCTAATTTTCTCTAGCCTACACATATATGTATGTATGTGTGTATATATATATATATATATGTCACTTAGTTAATGACATCTGTGGCTGCATATTCAGAAAACAAAGAAAGAGCAGGATCAGTTTATGGATCAAATGGATGAGGTTGTGGAGGATGTTAAAAATGTCAAGTGGCATGGCTCCAAAGCAGTAGGGTTGCTGCTTCTGGGAACTATAGTTGCTGCAGTGTTTGCTGATCCCCTTGTTGATGCTGTTGACGACTTCTCAACTGCTACGAGTATCCCTTCGTTCTTCATCTCATTCGTCATTCTACCTTTTGCTAGCTCCAGTGAGATAGTCTCCACTCTAATTTTCGTCAGCCGGAAAAAGCAGAGAACTGCTTCATTGGCATACTCTGAGGTAGACAATTTGCTAACAATCTCTACCTTTTCTTTTGTGTATGCTAGACACTCAAAATTAAAGGCACCTTGGGATTTTTGTACTAATTTAGGGTTGTTTTCTATATCTATTCCTTCTTTGTGGTGCAGATATATGGCTCAGTAACAATGAGCAACATTCTTTCCCTGGCAGTTTTCTTGGGTCTGGTTTACATTCGCAACTTGACGTGGAGCTTTTCCGCTGAAGTTCTCGTTATTGTAGTTGTCTGCATTCTAATGGGTGCCATTGCCAGTTTCCGAACCACCTTCCCCCTTTGGATGTCTCTGGTGGCTATGCTGCTTTATCCACTTTCTCTGTTGCTGGTTTATATTCTTGACTACGTATTTGGGTGGTCTTAGATTCATTCTGCATCGGTTTTTATGTTTAAGCAGCTTATGGTAAATTCAATTGGCAGCATAATTTGAACCTAATACTTGTTTGCATCAGATGTCTCTTGCTCTCTTGTATCTTCTTGGTAAGTTATATTTGTCAATTACTCAAGTATGCCATGATACTCTGCAGGGACTCCTAAGCCTAACCAAGAAATTGTTTTGTTACTTGGTAAATTTAGAAGTAAATAAAAAGCAAATATGAACTCATTTATTGATGATTTAGACCAAAAGTGGTAAGAACTAGAAGGAGAAAGAATAATACAAAGAAATTACAAGGATGAAAGTGCGAATATTCAGCTAAACCGCAGGCACCATTAGTATATATTTTTGCTTTTTCTTTGTTAATCAAAGAGTAATGCTACACTTACCACATTTTTATCCCACATTTCTATACCAGATGATGTGGCATGTCCATATCATATGTCACATCAATTAAATAAATGAAGTGTATTTTAATAAATAAAATTAGAAAAACAGAAACTTGTATTTTACATGATGTGATATGTACACATCAACTGCCACATCATGTGATATGAAATTGTGGTAAGACTAGTATTATTCTTAATCAAATAGTATTTTAGTGAATCTTCCTAGTAGACAAGAGCATTCACATTCTAGAAAGTCCAAGCATTGCCTAAGAGGAACTTAATAAAGAATAGTTCAATCTCAACATGTTCAAGGAAACTAAATGCAGTGTCAATGGGGTCTAGCCCAATGAAAAAAGGGCATTGATTTGCATACCAGTGGTTTCAGGTTCAAACCCTCATGGCACCTTGGTAGTGTGTGTGTGTGTGTGCGAGAAATCCCCTCCCCATTGTAATATAGCTTGTATTTAAAATATATATATATATATATATATATATATAAAGGAAACTAAATGCAGCACAATAGTTACACTATTTATGACAAAAGAAAAGGAAAATATGCGTGAAAATCTCATCTCAAAATATGACATGTGTTTAATGTAAATTCCAGAAGAAAGGAAGAGAAAGCTAAGAAGAATTTAATGACGGTGAGAATATTTCCTCTGTTTAGGATATTGCATTGTATCGAAGTGCTATGAATTATTCTAGAACAGACTTTGTTGCAAGAATAGTGGAGATGCGGCCAGCTCCAGGACTAATATGCAATCAGTCATTAGCATTAGATTTTCTACAAGTTATGATATTGATACTGTATGATTGGTTTCATGTGTTGCTACATAATCTTGTTTGATATGTATAGCACACCCCTGTAAGTGAATACGAGGTTTTCTAGTGATGAGCTTGAAGTTGAGGCTTTTAAACATGGCAAGTCCTTCCGTGAAAATATCAACTAACTGGGCTTGAGATACAATAGATCGAATGGGGAAGGAGACATTCTGTGCTGAGGTGATGGTAATGGGAGGAAACCAGGGGTGTGAGAATGTTGAGGTGAGTATGTCGTGGAAGTCTTAAATGGAAGTTGTGCTAACCCACGACTCCTCATATGATTCACTTTCCGAAGGATATGACACTAAATAAATGGATTGCTTCGGCTCTGCCATGATCTCATCAAACCAATCATCAATGTCCCTATTCCTCACGGACATGTAAGCCAACTTGAAGTCGAACTTGTCCAACACATTTTCATAGATGTCAAAGTCGGCCTGAATTGTGCTTGTGCTACACCTAGATGTTCAAGTTGAACTCCTCTAGCAACAGACTCTTTTCTTTTCTTAACCCCTTGTTGCTGCCTCGAGTGGTGCAAAGGACGATGAGCAGGGGTACAAGAAGAAGTTCTCAGGTTGCTTCACTTGCCAATGGCTCTATCAGATACCAGACTATCCAAACAAGCAGAGCTTGAATGCAATTGCGGCTAAGACAGAGGGAGATGCTGAAGAGGCCAGCAGTCTCTTTGTGAGTCCAATGGTGGTGTTGAATGCACTAGTGTTGGAGCCACCAGAAGATTCATTAGGAATGGATGCCATTGAGAAGCCATCATTGAAGGCGATTGAAGTGTTTGTGGATGTATTTTCCATGGAACCTTCAGAGGTGTTTATCAATGCTTTGTTGTTGCATGAGAGCATGCTTGTGGAGGCAAAAGAAAACATGATTCCAAATTGGGATCTTAATTGTGGGATGGAGGAAATGCAATATGTTGCCTTAGCACATTGTCTGGATACTTGGAGGATGTACTTGTCGCATTGTATGTTTCTTGAAAGGACATGCGTGATGCACAATCACATGTACATCATGGGCACAATTTGTGCCAACTTTGACATCTATATGTTAGAAAAAACAATTATCAATGACTGATTAAAACAATTATATAAACAGAATTTATAACAATCTGTAACACAGAATACAGTATATGAACAATAAATAAAACTGACTTGAATTTGAGATAGAGGCTTGCAGATTTGATGCAATGTCCTAAAGACAGTAATTTCACCCCTTCTCGGTGCTTGAAGTTCTACAGGTGACTGCCTCCCAGGATTCAACTATCTGTATTCTAAGCCCTAGCACTCGGACTTAGAATCTGGCGAACGTTGTTTGTTTTCCTCTCAGACAATATGAAATGCTTGTAGAATGCTTTTTCTGTGTTGAACGTATGAGGCCTTATTTGATTTAAATAAACTTCTGAAACCTTATCAGAAGAGTCACAACTGTTAGAAAACAGTTAATAAAACTAATCCGAATTAATAAAAAATTATTAATTCGAAACCAAAAAATAATTTTAAATCTGAAAGTGCCCCAAGGCCCAAGGCCCATCTTTTTGACTATTAAATATTATATATTTTTATATAATATTCAAAGCCCAAATCGATTTTGAAGCCCAAATTGCTTCCACTTGGCCTACTTCCATTTACTAAGTGTGGCACTTCCACACTTATAAGGACCTCACTCTTTCTACTTTCTATCAATGTGGGACAAAGGTTCTTGAATTTAATTCAAACTTCCAACAGAGGTGAATTCAGTCAATGAAGGCTAAACAATTGTGAAGAGATGTTAGTCAAAAAGAAAAAGGCATCATCATGCACTGATGAAAG